CTCTGACATAATCTGAAAAAAAGGTCTCCAAGCAAAGTTCTCAGAATTGACTCTAAGACTAGGATGGTCCTAATTGTCATGTCCAGCCCCAATAGGAGATCCTGTATTTCCTCCATAAAGAATAAAAAAAGCTGCTTATCCCAGAAATGAACATCAATTTTAGAAAAATGGTGTAATAAAATTTTCCAAGCCTGTGTAGGTAGATTCACAAATATACACTTAAAATTCTCATATATGAACAATGGATTATAAACTTAAACATAATGGAATGATTTCAATATAAAAATGCGTAAGTGAAAATAACACTATTTTCTCATTATCTTGTCTTCTCCTAAGATGAAATGTCTTTCCCTACCTCCTTAAAAGGCTGCTTTAAATTTCTGGAGCCTGAATGGTAGAATGTGAATTTTAGATTCTTGCCTTCACCAACATATAAAGACATTTTTAACTTCTGTGACAATAAAATGTTACCCAAACATAAGCATCAGGAAATGACTTAAACACAAGGGAAAAGCTCATTAACCACATCTGAAGATGAGTATGATTGAGACCGTTTATACAAACACTTCTTCCTCTAATTATGCCATTAAAACACACAAAATTCATCAAGGTACCTTTGGCTGCATACTAAATTAAATACATTATTGAAAAATATTTGTTGAGTACATACTCTTGTGCCAGCCATTGTGCTAGGCATAAGGGATTTACAGTGAACAAAACTTTCAAAGACCTTGCCTTCACAAAGCTTTCAGATAGGTATTATCATGCATAACAAGAAACCCAAAGATAGGACAGCTCTAGTATTACTGATTCCGCAGGTTCTCTATTTCCACTGCCATCCTTGGCACGTCTCCTTTCCTGTCTGACTTCTCCCCACACAGTTACAAGACTCCTTGACACAACTCCAGACACCACACTGAGAGATGACGACAGTCCTTGAAAAAACGAGGGAGCTCACTCCAGCTGTCTCTTTTAAGAATACAAAAATGCCATTCCCAGAAGTCCTCCAGGAGGCATCTTCCAGCTTCACTGGTCAGCAATGTCCCATGCTGACCCCAAGCTGTCCTCCTGTCTGCTTCCAGAGCAAAGTTTGTTAAAGGTCTGCTGTCTTCACCACACAGGAGGCTCCTCTGTAGAAAGAAGCATGTCATTCATCCACTTGTACAGTCACTCAATGAGCATTTATGAAGTGCCCAACACTTCCTAATATCCGCTCCAGCACTTAGAAAGTGGTCATTTAGAAAAGAATGAATGAAGGAATGGAATAAGAAAACAATAATGTTCATTTTATACCTCTCAATTTCAATCATTTAAATAAAATCTTAAGTACATTTGCCATACCTAGAAACATAAATAAGTCTGAGGAGGCCTTACAAGTAGCTGGGAAGAGAGGCGAAAGGCAAAGGAAAAAGGCAAAGAAGGTGGCATTAGTGGTAAAGAACCCGCCTGCCAATGCAGGAGACATAAGAAAGGGAAGTTCAATCCCCAGGTTGGGAAGATCCTCTGAAGGAAGGCATGGCAATCCACTGCGGTATTCTTGCCTTCAGGATCCCACGGGCAGAAGAACCTGGCAGGCTACAGTTCATGGGGTCATAAAGATCAGACAGGACTGAAGCAACACCCAACTGAATGCAGAGTTCCAGAAAATAGCAAGGAGAGATAAGAAAGACTTCTTAAGAGAACAATGCAAAGAAATAGAAGAAAACAATGAATGGGAAAGACTAAAGATCTCTTCAAGAAAACTGGACATACCAAGAGAATATTTCATGCAAAGATGGGCACAATAAAGAACAGAAAAGGCAAGGACCTAATGGGAGCAGAGGATATTGAGAACAAGTGGCAAGAATATACACAATTAAACAAAAACGTCTAACGACCTGGGTAACCACGCTCCTGCGGTCACTCACCTAGAGAAAGACATCCAGGAATAGAAGTCAAGTGGGCCTCAGGAAGCATCACTAGGAACAAAACGAGTGGAGGTGATGGAATTCCAGCTGAGCTATTTCAAATCCTAAAAGATGATGCCATTAAATTGCTGCACTCAATATGCCAGTGAATTTGGAAAACCCAGCAGAGGCCACAGGACTGGAAGAGGTCAGTTTTCATTCAAATCCCAAAGAGAGGCAATGCCAAAGAATGTTTAAACTATTGCACAATTGTACTCATTTCACATGCCAGCAAGATTATGCTCAAAATACTTCAAGCTAGGCTTCAGCAGTACATGAACTGAGAACTTCCAGATGGACAAGCTGGATTTATAAAGGCAGAGGAACCAGAGATCAAATCCGTTGGATCACAGAAAAAGCAAGGGGAAAAAAAAAAAAACAAACTACTTCTGTGTCATTGACTATGCTAAAGCCTTTGACTGTGTGGACCATAACAAACCGTGGAAAATTATTAAAGAAATGGGAATACCAGACTACCTTACCTGCATCCTGAGAAACCTATATGCAGGTCAAGAAGCAGCAGTTAGAACCAGACATGGAACAACAGACAGGTTCAAAATTAGGAAAGGAGTACATCAAGGCTGTATATTTAAAAAAAGAAAGAAAAAAAAAGGCTGTATATTGTCACCCTGCTTTATTTAACCTCTATTCAGAGTACATTATGTGAAATACTGGGCTAGATGACTCACAAACTGGAATCAAGACTGGCAGAGGATGAAATGGTTGGATGGCATCAGTGACTCTATGGACTGGGTTTGGGCAAACTCCAGGAGACAGTGAAGGACAGGGAAGCTTGGCAGGGAAGATTCAGTTCATGGAGTCACAAAAAGTCAGACACAACTTAATGACTGAACAACAAACAACAAACACAACTGCCTTCTCCCACACCTCTCTGATAAGTCTTCGCCTACTTAATCCAGATGATTTTTAGAACCTGTAGCAACTGTGTTTATCCTCCAAAGCTCCACAGCTATCCCACACACATTTTATAATTTACACAGCCATTTAGTGTCTGTAATTTACAAGAACTGGAAAAATGAGAATGTCAAGTTTGTTCATCACCGCTGACCTTGTATTATTTTAATCAAAAGAATGGTGTTCTGTTTTCCAACAGTAGACAAAAATACACAGATAATAACTGGAACTAGTTTAAAAAAAAAAAAGAAAAAACACCTAAAACTAAGATTGTTATCTTAGCACTTGAAGATAAAACAGTGGGTTAAAGTGCTCACTAGCTATAAACTTATGTTTTCTTTGTGGTACAAATTTTCCCCAGATATTTATTGAACATCTCTATGTATCAGACAGTACTGGGACTAAATAGAGGTGAAAAAAGAGACTAAACATTAAATGACAAATAAGAAATAGAATATGCAAATTGAAATGATGATAAGTGCTATAAAAGAAAACTACTACTATCAGAGAGAACAATAACAGAAACTATTTTGGTCTGGATGCCCAGGAGTGGTATTTCCACAGAGATCTGAAGGGGACAGGGCCTCACAAAGAGGATTAATGGGGTTCCAGGCCAGGCTAACAATTTGTGACAAGCCCTGAAGTAGAAGAGGGTTCAGCACATTGCTGAACTAATGGGAAGCAGTGTGGCTGGAGAATATTTGCACAGCCTTTTGGACCACGTATTTATTGTGTAATTCAATTTATAAACAAATACATTAGAAAAATCATAAACTGTGCTTCCATAAAAAATTCCTGGCAATATTTTTCTAGATATTATGCTTCTTTACTATATAAGCCATTACTATGGACGGAGGAGCCTGGTAGGCTACAGTCCATGGGGCTGCAAAGAGTCGGACACGACCGAGCGACTTCACTTTCACTTTCACTATGATAAATTATTCACTGATAAGACCACTCTCAGTGTAACTGACCAGAAGTTGGCTTAAAACTGTGAATCAAGACACTCTCAATAAAAGGGTTCTTAGAAAGTTACATAAAGGGGCCATCAACTGTATATAAATGTAAAATAAAACAACAATTTGGAATATTAGGAAACATTTATAGAAATCTTATCCTGTAATTACCTGCCAAGAAAGAGACACATAAATCCATTTTCCTGAAATGTGCAAATCTATTTATATTGAAATTGGGTGAAAATTGTTCTGAGGCTAGAGAGAATAGCATGAATTATTTGAAGTTCTTTAACGGTAAAATGAATGGTTGAGGGAATCTTGCTACTATCCTCATGAATCTGCTCAGATTTTAGAAATAATTCTATCACTCTGATTTGTACTTATCTTCATATTTTATTCCAATTTCCTAAATCAGATTTCATTACTCAATTAAAACACAATTCTCAAGCAGTATGTCTCAACCTTTTTCTAACTCTACAGGGTTTATTTGAACAATATACACGCACTAGTAACATCTTGGTGAGGTTTCAAAAAGCACACTCTTCCTCCAGGAACTGTCCTGTCTCTTGCCTTGCACACTCCACTGGAGAGTCTGAAATCTAATACTAGAACCACAGATGGGTAGAATGCTGACCAAAAGTGATTTTTATCATGAAGGCAAACTCTTAAGGAAGACCAAAATGGGCAACTGGACAGTGAATTGAATAAGTTTATCTACCAGGGGCCCTTAAAATTTCTCTTAATGTCTAGTAATTATTTTCTATTAATATGGACTTTCAAATCCCACACTGTGGTTTACAAATTGCAAGGGGTAACTAGATATTTTCATTGATAATGAAAGATAATTTTCAAAAATTATAGCCCAGCTTCTGACACTAACTAGTTGATTACCTTTGGAAAAAATGTTTACTTCTTTCTGCTTACTGAGAAAACAGAGGTAAAATGAAGGCACTGAACTCCAAGGTATCTTCCCTAACTTTAATATTATAAGATTATAAATCCATGATTCACTATCAACATGTAGAAAAACAATGTATATATGACATGGTGGCTAGAAGCTAGAAAACAATCTTGAAAAGGCATCAGTTTAAGTATGCACCTCATTACAACCTTGTCATTTAAAATCTAAGCCACCTAGATAATATCTATTAACATGGTTATTAAAATGTTCTTCTTTTTCTAGAGAAAGAAGCATGAGGCGGGGAGAAGGTATGACACGGTAAACACAGACTTTCATTGGGAGCAAGATTAACCTGAAGGAGTGGTAGCAGCGAACTCTTCCACGCACAGCCAACAAGGACTCATCTAACAAGGTCCACAGCTGCGGGGTGCTACTAGTGACGATGGTAGGGAGCTAATAGGAGGTAAGATGAAATCTCTTCCTTTTTTTTTATCTCCCCCCAAATTGGAAAACTAATGAAGAGAAGAAAATATGGAAATAAGTACTTTTCTCTGGTTGGTAATATTTGGTTCATGACCATCAATGATTAAGGGGAAAGGAGGCTGGGTCTGTGCCCGTCTTGCCATGCAGGGAGCTGACTGCCAACAAGCGCCCTGTGGTCAGAATGCCACTTGCCCTCGTGCTCTGCTATGCCCGGTGCCCAGGCTCTGGGGCCTCCCTGGTTTAAATTCTCTAGTGCATCACTCTTCCATTGTTTATGAGGGTGGGAGTAACACAGCTGCTCAGATTCAGAAGGTGGAGGGATCTGATGGTCTAAGCTTTGTGTATGCACACTTTCCACTTGCCCTCTTCTTCTCTAGTCCAAATTTCACCCCAGACTCCAAGAGCCCTGGTATCTCCAAAATCTTAAGCTTTTGGGTAATAAATGTCGTACTGCATCATAAGAGTACGTGACACTTGGTTCTGGCTTTCAGTGCTACTAAGTCAGTTATTATTTTTCCACCTCCTTTCCATATTCCAGAAAATTAACATTTCTGACCCATTGTTGTGTCCTTGTCTGTCCTCTATGTCCTCAAATTCATGTCTTTTTAAATATTATTATTAATTTACTATCATTTAAGGGATGTTTCCAAAGAAAAAGGATATATGTTCAATGTGCCATGATGAACAAAACATGTTTTATTTTTTAAAATGAACTGAAAAAGACTCAGGGAAAGTTGGTAAAATGTTAACACTTGTTAAAACTGAACATGGTTGGTATCTTTGTATTTGCATATTGGTCCCCATTTTTAAAGTAGTTAATTTAACATGAAGATAAGTCAGAATTCCATTTATTAAGCACATAAATCCACACAGAAGTGAATTCCTATTGATTAGTAACATAGGTAGAAGCACCATTTTATACTGAAAACACTAATACAAGAGGTAGTACCAGGAACGAAGGACAAAGAGACTATTCTTTGTAGAAGAATATTCTCCTGTATGGGTCTGCTGGTAAAGAATCTGCCTGCAATGCAGGAGACCTGGGTTTGATCCCTGGGTTGGGAAGATCGCCTGGAGATGGGCATGGCAACCCACTCCAGTGTTCCTGCCTGGAGAATCCCCAGGGACAGAGGAGCCTGGCGGGCTACAATCCATGTGGTTGCAAAGAGCCGGACATGACTGAGTACCTAGGCACAGTACAGCATTCTCTTGTGTGTGTTTCTTATCTGATTGAGAGGCTTCATTTATTTTAAAATTAATACTCAGTTTTAAAGATAAGAAAGAGGGAGGTGGGAGGGGGGATCGGGATGGGGAATACATGTAACTCCATGGCTGATTCATGTCAATGTATGACAAAACCCACTGCAAAGTTGTGAAGTAATTAGCCTCCAACTAATAAAAATTAATGAAAAAAGAAAAAGATAAGAAAGATCTATGCAGTGCACAACTTCTGATGATCTGTTTTGGGTAGTTATTTTTAGGATCATATGAAAGAGGCCATGATATTGAGTAACTTATCTCTACCCCTGCTCCAGGATAACCAGTGAGAGAATCCAGAGAATCACACACCATTTTTTTTTTCCTGGTCCTTTCCTTAATATATTTCTGGATTAGTCTAAAAATGCAATTACGGAAGAGATTCCATGCTTTTCAAGGCATAACTCAAACGGGTCCTGTGTTTTGACCTTTAACCCAGGGACAAGTTACTCTCATCATTATTATATAATACTCACTTATAAACTTAGACTTAATATTTCCATTTAGATTTCCATGTTTGACCCTTTACCAACCTCATGTGGTAGTGAGGGAAGGGACTCCTTCCACCTACATTCTCGAGATGCAGAAGCTGAAGCTGGATGGTGAGTAACTTCCCCAGTACCAGGCAGCTAATGGGTTTTAGGCAAGATTAGAATCCAAGTCACAGGACTCCACCTCTGACTGCTCCCCACACACACACAGCCTTTCTCTGAGCACCACTGTTGCAGGCTGCTGCTCTACTACCAGAAGGCTCAATCCTGTCAAGATGGAGCTGGGAGACAAAATCAGTCAAGATTTTGACCATTACTGCATTTTCACTCTTCCTCCAAATGCTTTGTCTGTTTAGAATTTGAGAGTCAAGCTAACTGGCTTGCCAAATATATACTTTCCCTGACTTTAAAAAAAACCACTATGCTATGTTTATATCCATCATCAGCTATACCTCTAGTTCTTCCAAAGTCTTCATACATAATCATTCATTGTATGTGAGATTTCAGGGTTAGTTTGCAAGGCACACTAGAGTGGATTCCATCAGGCCCGACTAATTGGAAACTCTCAAAATTGAAGCAGCCCTTATGAAGACTTATACAAATTAAGTCATCTGAATAAAGAAACTTCTTTATAACATTCCGCAAGGAACTAAGTTTCCACCCCCACACCCCACCCCCCACACCCCGGCCAAAGGACCAAGTTTAATATTGGGTGCCAAAAAAAAAAAAAAAACCATAGATATACACTGAGGGTGAAGATGTACATAGTAATAAGCCTGTTTTCCAACAGAACATCCACACTATTTTCACATTTGTATTAATATTCGAAGAAGTAAAAACAACACTACACCTACAACTAAAAGGGAAAAGAATAAAACCACCCTGAAATGATTTAACAACGTCATCCTTACCCCCTCAAGAAATGTTATTCTAGGACTATAAACTATCCATTTTTCAACTCATTGTAATTTAGTGTTTCATACACTAAAATGGACACTAAAATCTGTCATTATTACTGACCAAGCTATAATCGCAGCTATTCAGCTTGTCAGAACTGTAGATTCTGACTCTGTGAGCTGAGTTATCCTATTTTGTTTTTTAGGTCCAAGAAGTAGTGGTTGGGCTTTTGTTTGTTTTTAGCAAAAAAAAAAAAAAAATGCAGAAAATGAATACTCCCACATGTTTGTGCTTTTAGCACATTAAATATGCACTCTGAATGGTTCCACATAAATATTTTTACTTTAACACTGTAGATGTCACCAGAAAAACAAACTAAATTGAACAGTTCTTCCCAGTGAATATTGTAACAAACCCTTCATTTTCGGTAGGCTTAATGGGGACAAGGGACTAATCATGAACTCAGTGTTTATCAAAATAAGCAAACCTGAGAAAGACAATGAGGAGCAGAGTGATGAATCTTTGGCTAAGTAATGGAATCCATTTCTCAGGAAGAAAACTCTTGAACATATTTAAAATAATGATGATGAAAGTGAAGCATTTATGTGTCTCAAAAATTAAGAGTTGATGGTAAACTGCTTGCATAGGATCTTCTACTACATGTATTAGGTATACTATAGCCTGATTAAAGTCCATGATAAAATTGAAAGCTTTGAACAAAGTCCTTCAAGGTTAGAATGATTAGGTTTTCTACTGTGTAAGTATGAATATTTATTCCTGATAGCAAGATAGTTCCTTCCACAGAGGTAGTTTCTTCATTTTTACTTAATAAAGTCAATTTATTCCAAACTCTATTTCTTCTTTCCTCATTCAGAATATATTTACTGCATAAATCTAAGTTTTCTTACTCTGTAAGTGCTTATTTTTCTGGAGTAGGTCTATTATGCAGTATTTTGTAAAGGGTTAATGCATAATAACTATATAACCAAACCCTTTTGAATGCTTAAATATTGTGATACTGATTATTTTTATACAAGCAAATGATTATTATTTGGCTTATTGGCTACAAACAATGGTGCCAGAAGTTGTATAGAACTAATGTTTTCTAAGCAGGGCTATAAATATTTGCTATTCTTCTTCTTTATGGTGCCCAGTTCTAAGTAGCAAACTGTGAACTTTTATATACTAAGAATGGTTTGAAATTGCCCCCAATAAATCTTCTCAGTCTTAAGCTACACTTCCATACCATTGAAAGAAATAGCTGATGTTGCACAAAGTTTTGAAATATACTCTTTTCCAAAGTATTTGCTTCATCAGCAATTTATTTTAACATACACATCTCCCTCTCAAAGAGAACTGAAACTAATTATGTATTGTCCCAAATGCAAAGATATCACTGATACCATATGAATTCATATATTATTAAAAAAGCTGATTTTTTTTTTTTTACTTATTAATATGACTCTTAGGTAAACTATCTCCATTATAAGAAACTTTGGTCTACTCAAAGAACAAACTCTAGCTATAATAATCAGGGCAATATTCTTTCCAATATATTTATAAACATTTTGCTACAGTGTTTGGAAGGCTGCTTATTCCAGAAATTTTTAACTAAAAATGACAACTTATTCTAATTCAGGACTGAGTGTCTAAAGAAGATGAAAGACACAAGCATTTGTAATTCTTCAGAAAAAAACAGGCAAAAGGATTTTCAAACTTGAAATACCTGACCCACATAATATAAACCTTGATTTTGATTTAATAAATGTCAAGATTCCTAAGATACACCATAATTCCTTACTGTCACAAATTTTAAAGTCTTTTCATTGTGCCAGTTAACAAAGGCTATATGGATAAATTATAATCATTCTTACCAGTGTTATAAAACTTAAAGGGTTACATAGCACAATTAGAAGAAACGCATTCTGAACGATGTGAACGTCTCTTGAGAAAACAACTTCCCCAAAGGCTTACAGCTAAGCCAAGTGGCCAGCACCTGGGCTCTCCCCAATAGGCAGCCATATCCATCAGATCCTCTGGGTCTTAGAGTCACAACTTAATAATAATAATAATAATAAAGTCTTTAAAAGTAAAAACCAGCTTATTGTACAAACTTATTTGTTGTAGGGCAACACATCTGATGAAAACTTTAAAAGTTCTAAGTCTGAGCTGTGCCTCAGAACTAATTGGGGAGCTTTTAATAGTTATGATGGCCCAGACTCCCAAATGATTCTGAGGTCATTGATCTGGAGTGTTTTTAAGCTAATGTGGAGATGAGAACCACTGCTTTGCACACAGGAGTATGACTGTAGAACCACATTCCCGCCCATCCACATCCCCCAGACGTTCAGCTTCCATTATTAAGATCTTTTTTTTCCCCTGCAATAGGAAAACACCTATATTCATACCACAAAAAGAATGGTAGATGCCAAGATTCTCTGCCTATCTCTTGGAATGAGAACAAGTTCTCATGGAGGCAATGAGTAAATAGTTCTGAAAATTAAAGCCATTTTCCTAAGATGTCAAGTATATATTAAGCCTAGCAATTGCCTTGAATTTAACAAAGATGACATTCCAAAGGAGTACAGTAGGTTGCAATTTTCCCAACATTTTTTCCTGACCTAAGACAAAGGCAGGATGCAGTCATGTCATTCATAGTGGTAGAATGGCAATAAATCTCAACTAGGAAATGTATTAGAATTTTCAGTTTGGAATAAGCTTATAATCTGGGAAAACTGCCATTTCCCCCCGTGATTTTAATGCATTCTCTACAGAACCACAAACAGCACAGTCCTTAGCCTTCCCTCTGCTCCCCGCCAACGTGAGAATCACTGCCAGGTGCTCTGAAGATCAGTTCTGCAGCCCTCAGCACACTGCTTGACTTTTCTGAGCTCAATGTCATCTACAGGTAATAATATTTACTCCACCTGCCTGATAAAGTTGCTGATAGGCCAAGTGAGATCATCAATATGAAAAAAATTTCATTAACTGTGAAAAGCTCTAAGTAATAACATTGTTACTATAACTAATAAATAGCATTCTTTGATATGCATTAACTGTAGACTGAGAAATTAGCTCCTTAAGAGAAGCAGAGATAGTCAGTCCATCTCTTAAGACAAATTATTAGAGCTTAACCAATTCAAAGCTGTCAGTCTCCTACAGAGAAGCTAAGTATAGTCAAAAGGTACCGATTTTCATTTATTCAACAATTAACATGTACGTACTGGGAACCGACTCTCATGCATGGCCCTGGGCTAGACATGGTGAGGGCTACAAAACTGAGTGAGATGCCAATTCTGCCTTTAAGGAGCCTTCAGCTCAGTGACAGGGAAGAAGGCCATCCACACAGCCACTACAACTTTGAAATTAATGAGTCCTTTAGGAGAGAAGAAGATAAACACTCTGCAAATCCAAACAAGGGAGAAATCACAGATGTCTGGCTGGAGATGTGGAAAGAGGTAACTCACGTGAAGCTTGGGAGAAGGAAATCCTCAACAGGGAGAAGGAAGAGCGAGGGGCATATTTTGGCTAGGAGGAAAGTTCATGAAAGGAAGTGGAGGACAAAGTAAAATTTATTTATTACTAGAGTTCATCCAAAATAATTTACTGCAAATTTATTGTTATCCTAGAGTAAGGCTAATTGCTGGGAATGCAATGTAAAGCCAACAAACATTAGACATGTAATAGCAACAATCAATTATGAATTGTGACAAGCATTAGGAAGGAAAAGGTGCTAAGAGAAATAGGGAAACCCATTTCAGTTTGAGTGGTGTGGGAAAGCCTCCTTTTGGAAGTGACAGTGAAGCCTGGAGGGAGATCTGGAATGCAAAAGCCCAGAAACAAGGATACTTGGAGCATCTTAGGGACTAAAAGAAAGCCAGTCATAGATACAGAGGCAGGGAGAGAGTGACAGGAGGAAGAATAATTTCAAACTAAAAACATGTCCTGTCAAATTTTCAGGAAAAAAAAAAAGGACTGAGAACAGATCACTGGACTGAGAAAAGTAGCCTATAAGAAGACTAATTTAGCTGTCTTTAACTATTCCATGACAGATTAAGTTAGGTTAAGGTATTAGCTATATAGAATTGGTTTTGAACACCAGGAGCTGATACTTAAATAGAACATTAAATGCCTCAGTGATGAAGGAGTTAGGATACAATCTGATTCCTTATAAAACAGTGCCATAAAAAGGCAAGGATGGACCACAAGTGGAAGTAAACCAGAAATTGTGTATCTAGTAGTAGCAGAGATATATCAATTGACATTAGAGACCACATATTTATACCATGGGCCTGGTGGTTCAGACGGTAAAGAATCTGCCTGCAATGCAGGTGACCCCAGGTTTGATCCCTGGGTTGGGAAGATTCCCTGGAAAAGAGAATGGCAATCCACTCCAGTATTCCTGCCTGGAAAATTCCATGGACAGAGGAGCCTGGTGGTCTACAGTCCATAGGATCACAAAGAGTCGGACACGACTGAGCAGCTAACAGTTCCACTTTCTTTCATTTAGACAGAGCTCCTCTTCCTTCTACACAACATTTCTGGTCTATGATCCATAGCCCTTGGAACATGAAGTGAGAAGATGGATGGTATGGTTGGCTATCGAAGTTTCAGCATAAGTTTGGCAGATACTGTATAAGTTCACAGAACTTAGGGGATATTAAAAGATCATTTGCAACTCCAAGATGGCCATGAAAAAATGGTAGGTGAAGTGAAGGAGGAGATGAGAGACTATGGGGAAAAAGTAAATCGTTAGCAGGTTAGGCATAATTAAGGTAAAGTGTAGGAAGAAATGAGAAAGTGAATCTCTGATTTCAAAATCTTAGAGTAGATCTCATTGGTGGCAAGGTCCAAGGTGTGTCCATATTTGTAAGATGGCTCGAGTGAAACAGTTAAAATGGGCAAGAAATGATGTGATTTCAAAGAAATTAAAAGAATCTCTACATCAGTCAAACAAGGGAAGCCTGACTTAGAGGACAAATAAGATACTAGTTAAGCAAGCTCCGGGAGGTGATGGACAGGAAAGCCTGACATGCTGCAGTCCATGGGGTCGTGAAGAGTTGGACATGACTGAGCTGAACTGAACTAAGCATAGATTATGCTAGAAGCTAGAGCTGAAGGCATGAATAGTCACAACAATATTATACCCAACACACGTTTACATAATGACCAATGTACCACCAACACCCCTCAACCACCTTTCCAGACACCAGACTGGCAACTAGACTCAAATTTAAAGTTGAAATGATGAAAAGATTTTGTAGCCTGAAATTAGCTGTTCACCCTTCCTTGAATTAGTTTGTCTGAGTCCAAACAAAGTTCAATTTCATGGCAAAAGTATTATTCAATCCTCTATTTTAAAAAAAAAAGACTCATATGCGTATTTATATATACATATATAGTCTTTGAAATGTGAAAAATTAAAAGGAATCTTTTGTTTAAAAAATTAAAAGGCAAGTTGTGCATATCTAAATAAACACCCAATGGCTTTTGCTCTGTTTCTTTCAAAGAGCCAGACCTCAAGTCAACCCCCTGAAATTGGCTAAAGTAAAAAAATATCGAAGACTTGAATATGTAAGAATATGGGTTTAATTTTACATTCCCAGTACTAAGTTTTCTTATTCAGAGCTATTTGGGTAAGACTTTTAGAAGTTTCCTGCATATAGGGGAGGTACAATGAGACAAGCCTAACTCAGAGGACAATGTTAATCACACTCAATCACTATTCGCTAGGTGCGCTGCTGCCACTGGTGCAACCTACATTTTCATTCCACTTTGTGATTATAACAGCACCTTGGTGATGTAGAAAGAATACAGAGAAGATTATCTGCAAAGAAGGCCTCTAAATATATGACACATAGATGAATCTTTTTCATAGAGACAAGCAATGTATGGGCAGCATCCAAAGATGAGACATACGGTCTTATTATCATCACATCAGCATGAATCAATTATTTGTGACATTTGAGATTGTGGGAATCTTTTTCCTTAAATCTCCCAATCTAAGTTCTCAAGAACCATGGAAAATGTATTTAATTAAATAACATGCCAAAGCAGAACAAATTTCTCCACCCATTCTCTTCTCTGGTTCACTTAATACAATTTCACCCTCTAATGCCAGCATCTGAGGGTTTTAAAGAGAGATTTCCCTGACTTCTGTGTCTCCTGCTACAGAACCCAGGGACTTAGGAAGAATCTAGCTTTCAGTAGAGAACCATGGAGTTCAGATTTACCACCGAGTCCTAAAGGACTCTTTAAAGAATCACGGGACAAGTCACAGTATTGACTTCCAGCTGTGTTATGGTGAAGAGTAATGGGGCTCCTGAAAGGAGTGGAGGGGAATTCCATCAATCTGCTCCAGCCCCTCATTCTCAGCACTGAGCCTTGGTAAAGCTGGAGCCAGGTCTCACCCTTTCTATGGCTGGATAAGAGCTGGGAAACACTGCCTCCCTTCTTTCTGGCAGCTGTTTTCATAGCTATATGAGCTACTCATGCATGGGACTAACAATTTATCAACAGAAGTGACAAGTTCTGAAAAAAAACTTCATTCTTGAATTTCAGAAACTTACTAAAAAATTACAAAATGGGCACAAGGTAATATTTTTTGCTTACCAAAACTAAATCCTTGCTCTCTCAAAGCTTCATGGGCCCAGCTTCATGGGCATGTGACCCATGCAAGAGCATTGAACACCAAGTTTAAAAGGACCCGTGCACTTGGTTTAATGCTCTGCGGTTTCCATTATGAAATTCATAACAAGTCTTCCACAAGGGGCCCTGCGTTCTCATCTTAAACAGTTCTCCACCTTCAAAATGACATAGCTGGTCCCGTCCTCTTCAGACCCTAAAGAAAGTGGAATCTCCTGGCTTACATGGGACCTGAGCATTTCCTACAGGTAACTGGGATCTAATGTAGCTTTGGAAACTAGTCCCTTAACCTCATCATTTTTGCTGCACAGGAGAATTTTCTTTTTAAAATATTATTGCTTTTAATCCAATAAGATAATTCACCTCAAGGGAAGAAATGCAATGCCGAAGAAAGTATACACACTATTAAATAGAGTCTTCTTCACCAGTATATCCTCACTCAATTTCATATTACTAGAGCTAACTCTTGTGAGGAGACACCTTCCATTAAGAAAAACAAATACACACATATATTAATTTGACACACACACACATTGATTAATTTTATCTTTTTTTTTAAATTCCAATTCTGTATGTCTACTAGATGGAGAAATCCTTTGAAGTGAAGTGAAAGATGGGGAAGATTCTTTAGAATCTACCAATAAAGATAACCACCAACTTCAAATCATGTTTATTATTCTTCACTCATTTCAGAGTCCTCAGCTGTATTCATTCAGAACAGCTGACTGATGGCAGCACAAAGGAACAAAGAACCAGGGCTAACCAACTGGCTGCCTTATCCCAAGCCACTAGGCTATTGTGAGAAATTCAAGAGATTTAGAAGCAAGAAAAACACAGATAAAGCCCTAGCTTTGCCATGTTGATTGGTGGAAACATGGATTTCTGTTTCCTCACCTGCCAAATATGGCAATTTTTACGAAGCTTTCAAATTCTCTTCCCAATTGAAGTCTCAGATTTAGGAAAAGCTATTTCCACCACCTATCCTCAGGTTCACACTGAGTCCTTTGTTCTCACCTCGGATTGTTCCACTTCAGAAATCTTTAAGTTCCTATTTCCCATTCTCATTATCCATCTTCTCTTTCCACCTATCCCATTCACTTACTGCATCTATACCAACTTTTGTTTCTTAAAAAAAAAACAACAGAAATCTTCAGGGATTCATTAGTCTCACTGGTTTTTCTTTCTTATTTGGAAGAGCCTTCCAGTCTTTACTTCTTTCCCTACCCATTTGAGATTCACGACCCATCACCTGAAGCCCTCGTTGGACAATGTCCTTAAACCCTTTGCCCCAGTGTCCTTTCATCACAACTATCATTTGCCCAAACTAAAAACCTTGGTCTCCTTTCCAGCTCCTGCCAGCCCCTTACCCCAGATGTCTTACTGATTGAAGCTGAGTCCACCTACTTCCTGCAACCTCACCTGCCACTCTACCCCAGTCCCAGCCACCTTCTTTTCTCAGCTGGATTAATACAATGGTCTCAGTTGTTCTCTTAATGCCTTCAGTCCTTACCATTTTAAACTACTGAAAAGCAATCATCCTAAAATATAAACTAAAACATAAATTTGAGCCATTTCTACGTTCCACACCTTCCACCTTCCCTTAACCTTTGTTAACAGATTCTTTCCCTCCATCTCTTCACTCCTCATCTAACAATTTACATCCCAGCTTACAGAAAACTTCTCCACCTCTCCTCAAACTGGCCACCTTCTTTCTTATCTCTAGACCCGTAGGTGCACTGTTCTTTAGGCTTCCAACACTCTGGCTCCACCCCTGCCCCCGCTCTGTCTGAGTTGGCCAACTCCTTCAGGTGTCATCTCAGACATCACTTCCTCTGGAACGCCCCCTCGGACCTTCTTCTACCTGAGCATGTTTCACAGATGTGAACACACAGCCACCTGCAGTTACTTATCATAGCATTCAAAACACACACTATCATTTCAAGATGAACAGTATGTCTCTTCCACCAGACTAAATTCTGAATGTGGAGACCTCTCCTGTATCATTCATCACTGTATTCAACACAACACAGTTTCGGCAAACTATTAGCACCCTATTGTAATGCAACCAATTTTTTATTCAGTTTTCAAAGTTATACTTTGATGCCTAATCCTAAAAATTCATTATAGTAACACGTTGTACAAGCATTAATCTCTGCATAAATTCACAGAGTGTTCAGACCCAGGAAGTCTGAGGTTTGAGAACTAAAATTATCTAGACCGCAGTATTTATGGTCTTGATCACTGAAGTTATTTATTTCTTCAGTGGTTAGCATTTTCACGGTGGTCTCTAAGCTAGTTCCCAGGCCTCAGCTCCTCCCTCCAGTTCAATGAACTTCCAAGTGGAAAAAGAGTAAGTCTGGTTTCCTCACTGAGCACTCGTCCACCACTTGTACTTCAATACCGTCTCATCTCACCCCCAAAAGATCAAAAGATTTTAGGAATGTCTGAAAATCTTAATCTTTAACAAAAGAGCAGTAGGATGTAAAATGGAAACTGAATGAATCATGGTATTTGATAAAGCTGAAAAGTGAAGTAATAAATAACATTAATAGGAGTCTAAGAATAATAAAAAATATATTTTATAGATACAAAACATAAAAACTAACTTAGAAGGACAGAGAGAAATATGAGAAAGAGAAAGAAGAGAGAGGAGGAGGTGGAGATAAGGAGAAAGCAAGGGAAGGAAAAATGAAGGAAGGAATGGAACTGAAGCAGTCTCAAACTTTTTCTTATAAATAGGCAAGAAAAATAAGGAATAGGGGGAAAGGCTCTAACCAAAGTGTCATCCCTAACCACCTCCACAGACAATAAACCTTATCCAGAACACTGCCACAGTTCACTTAGAATGCTTCAAAAGAGCCTTATCAATGAATAGCAGCCAAGCTTAGGACTTGATAGCTTTCTATCATTAGAGCATCTGTGGAACTTGAAAGTTAATATAAATGAACCAGGTGTAGCTTGGGAGTAAGAAGGGAGCAGCTGTGTGTGTGTGCTCAGTCATTCCTGACTCTGCCACTCCCCAGACTGCAGCCCTCATGCTCCTCCGCCCATGGAATTCTCCAGGCAAGAATACTGGAGTAGGTCGCCATTTCTTTCTAGAGGGGGAGCTTCCATACCCAGGCATAGAATCCTTGTCTCCGGCA